ACAGTTTTTCACTTAAAGAAAGCACTTTTGGCATATCTGAATTGCCAGCATCATTACTCTTGTATTTTGTGGCCAATATTGAGTAAAATAAGGACCACTAGAACACAAGCACCGCAATACAGCAAGAGTCGATCTGATAATGGAGAACTAAGCGATGAGCAGATATTGTATACAGCATTGATATGCTGGACAAAGGGATGATTCATAATTTAAAATTCATGAGTTGTTCACATCTGGAATTTTCCATTTAATATTTTTGGACCATGGGTGACCATGAGTAACTGCAACTGGGGAAAGTGAAACCATGAAAAAGGGAGGGACTACTGTATAAAGGAGCATTCTCAGGTTCTAGGGATGAACTGGGTATTTTCGGGGTGACATTATTCAGCTTGCAACAACATCTAAATCCATCTTTTAATCTCATGTGTTTATACAAAACAGACATCCTATATAATAAAAGCCTAATATGCAAATTGACTGAACAGTGGAATGACCTGTCACTATGATGCGCACTGATCACCAGGGGGCAGATGTTCAACACAGGAGCTGCCCCCTGGTGGTCAGTGCGCTCCCATAGGGGGAGCGCCACTCAGCCAGAAGCCAGGCTCATGGCTTGCAAGCGCAGTAGTGCTGGCAGGAGCCTCTCCCACCTCCAGGGCAGTGCTAAGGAGCAGCGAGCAGGTAAGAAGTGAGGGATCCCAGACTGCGAGAGGGCACAGGCCGGGCTGAGGGACCTCCTCCCTCCAGTGCACAAATTTTGTGCACGGGGCCTCTAGTCTTATATAGTAAAACCCTAATATGCAAATCGACCAAATGAGGGAACTGGTCGCTATAATGCTTACTGACCACCAGGGAGCAGACACTCAACGCAGGAGCTGCCTCGTGGTGGTCAATGTGCTCCTACAGGGGGAGCGCCGCTCAGCCAGAGGTGGCTCATGGCTGGCAAGTGCAGCAGCAGTGGCTGGAGTGGACCTAAGCCGGCAGTCAGACATTGCCCAAGGGGCCCCATATAGAGAGAGGGTGCAGGCTGGGCTGAGGGACCCCCCCCCCCCCCCCCAGTGCATGAATGTCATGCACCAGGCCTCTAGTTTTTACATAAAAGGGACTGGATCAGGCATGCTGGAGTGTTTTAGTGTAGTAGTTTTCTTTTTCTTCTTTCTGTATCCCTTAACTTTTTAAAGATTACTTCTGTTGACATGTATCCCACCCTATTTATTCTCCATGCTCACTAACCATATACATATTGCCAAATAAAGAACAAATCTGATTTAGGTGAGGAGAGACTTTATCTGAAAGGATTATTGCAAGGTGTGGGGGGTACTGCAAAAGTAGGAAGGAGACTCTTCCCTGACAGGGGGGAGTGGAATGAAAGGGTTCTTTATTGGATAGTAGATCAAAGAATGTTTTACCCTGAGGCAAACATGTTCTCAGGACAGGCCTAATAAGAAGGGGCTACTTGCTGGCTTGGACCACACTGGGTGTAAGTTCCCAGGCCTGGAGGGAGAAAAGGAATTTAACCAGTTTGATTAAGGAGCACTTTATTCCTATAGGTCAGGGGCTACAGGTAGTTCAGCTAATTATTTATAAGGCAAAGGATAAAGTGGAGAATCAGTGTCTGGCTTTGTTCTGGGTGACAAAGAGCACCTCTGGGTCTTATCTAGGTCACACGGGGAATGCTGTTCCTTTGCAGTATGCCACTTCCAAGAACACAAAAATGTAGAAGTGTGAGCGGCAAAATGGCATCGGGTATTACTGGTGGAGTTAAGCCGGACCTGGGTTCAGCAACCTTGGTACTTGGGTTCTGGCTAAGAAAGAATTCAGGTCCAAGACTCAAATAAAAGCAAAAGTTTATTTAGAAAGTTAGAGAGGTAGAAGTGAGCCATGGAAGAAGTGAGCCAGTTGGGCTGTGTGGGCTCAGGAAACAAGTTACAGAAGCAAAAGAAGGACCCTTGGAGCTTAGGAGAAAGAAAGAAGGTTATACATGCCTGGGGGAAGGAGAGTGTAGAAAGGCCCCGGTGGGCGTGGTCCTTCTTTTGAGGGGTTTTATCTGGAGGTCTCCACCTCAGTAGAATATTCATCAGTTTTTCAGGTGTGTCCCCTCAGGGTTCTGGTCTTCACTGACTGGTCATGGCCAGGGCAGGTGGTCATTAGTAATGGACGCTGGTCCTGATGTCAGCCATGGCGTCACCCTACCCGACCTTGCTGCTTTTCTGGGCCTGCAGCTGAGACACAACTGAGGCCTACATGTTATCTCTAGAGCTTAATACTTAAGGGAATGATCCTGCAAGGGCTTGTATGGGAGTCGTATGAAGCTATTCTCCAGTCCCATTTATACCTCCTCTAAGGGTCTACTGTATGGTGGGCAAAATGTCAGGGGGGATAAATCACATGATCAGTGATATGCTAGGGGAAGAAAGGGTCAACCTGGGGATGAGGCCCCACCCTACAGTTGTCCATTGCTAGGCACCCTGGGCTTTCTGCCTTGGTGACCTCTGTACTTGGCCTATGTTCATACTCTGCTCAGGCCCAAGGCCCAAGTCTGGTCTGACCCCACTGGTCTAACACCTCTCTCTCCCGCTCCCAACACTTCCCTGTATCTTACCTTTTCACTCAAAAACAGCCAGAGAAAATCCTTTCAAGGTCTGTACAGCTCTTTTCCATTCTTTAAATGTCCTCATAATGTTTCATGACGTGGTTGTGAACCAGCACCAGATGTTAGACCCATAGGGTCACACCCATCCTGGGTTCAGCAACCTTGGTACTTGAATTCTGGCTAGGAACGAATTCAGAGCCAAGACTCCAACTATAAAATTACATTTACTTATAAAATCACAGAGGTAGGCCTTAGCCCAGCCATGGGCAAACTACGGCCCGCGGGCCAGATCCGGCCCGTTTGAAATGAATAAAACTAAAAAAAAAAAAGACCGTACCCTTTTATGTAATGATGTTTACTTTGAATTTATATTAGTTCACACAAACACTCCATCCATACTTTTGTTCCAGCCCTCCGGTCCAGTTTAAGAACCCATTGTGGCCCTCGAGTCAAAAAGTTTGCCCATCCCTGCAGCCAGTTTGGCTCAGTGGACAGAGCGTCTGCCTGCTGACTGAAGGGTCCAGGGTTCAATTCTGGTCAAGGGCACATGCCCGGGTTGCAGGCTGGGTCCCAGGTTGGGGGGTGGGGGGGGCGGAGTGGTGGTGCAGGAGGCAGCCAATTAGTGATTCTCTCTCATCATTGATGTTTCTATCTCTCTCTCGATTTCTCTTCCTCTCTGAAACCAATAAAAATATATTTAGAAAATAAAATAAAATCACAGAGGTAGAATAGGTAATTTCTAGAAGAAATGTGCTTAGAAAACAAGTTATAGAAGTAAAGGAAGGGGCCTTGGAGCTTGGGAGTGAGAAAGCTAAGCCTGGTGGAGAGGAGGAAGGGGGGTGGGGAAGGAAAGGCCTGGTGTGCTCCTGGGAGCACTGGGTCCTCATCCTAAGGGTTTAAGGGTGAAGAGTTAGGAGAGGTCCCAGGGGAAGGTCTTAATAGAATATTCAGCAGCTTTCCAGGTGTGTCATTCAGGGTCTAGGTCTCCACTGATTCAATCAATCAACACCAGGGCGGAGGGGGGGGGGGGGGGTCATTATCCACTGTTCCCCCTGAGGTCAGCCTTTGGGTGACTGGTCTGTGTTTTGCTGCTTTTCTGGGCCTGGAGCGAAAATACAATTGAGGCCCAGATGCTATCTCTCTGGAGGAAAGGTCAGAGGGTCCAAACCGCATGACCAGCACATGCTAGGGGAGGAAAGGTCACCCTGGGGCGAGGTCCCACCCTACAGCTGTCCTTTGCTACGCACCCGGGGCTTTCCACCTGGTGACCTTCTGCACCTGGCCCGTGGTCCTTGCTCGGCTCCTGTCTAACTGCCTACCACAGTTGTACCATATTACTCAGTCATCTCTCTATGGATGACCATGTTCCTCATTTTCATTTTTTCCCCATCTCACTATAACAATCAGAAAAAAAAAAAATCATTTCACTTAGACTCTGGGGTTCCTGTAGCTGCTAAACTTGGGGTTCCCGAAGTTGTATTTCATTTTTCAAAATCCATTTTCTTTCGTAGAATCTCCTGGCAGAACCGTCCACCTGTTTGAATTTACATTCATTTCGCTCCTCTCTCACTTCCACCTCCTCCCACCTTGCCCAAGGCAGGAGGTGGTTGGGGGAAACATAGTCTCAGTACCTTTTGTTTGCCTTCCTGCTCCCCTTTCCCGAAGCAGCAGGCCCCTCCCTGAGGTCCTGCCAGTGGGAGTCAGGAACCTGTGGGCCCAGCTCCTCGTCCCTCCGGGTCGCTGAAGCCGCGGCAGGAAGGCGTGGCCAGACCTGGGCATCCTGGCCGAGCGCCAGGGCTGGCACGGTCCCCTGGGCCGGCAGCTCCCAGCCAACTGAACACTGAAAGGCAAACCGCCCACACCCCAGGGTGAGGAAGGAGACACACCACAAAGACACGTTTCCGGATCCGTTCAAGACTTTACCCACGTCTTTTGAAAAAGAAACAGAAGTAGAAGCGCCTCCAGTTGTTTTAGACCAGCGGTTCTCAACCTGTGGGTGGCACCCCTTGGGGGGTCGAACGACCCTTTCACAGGGGTCGCCTAAGACCATCGGAAAACACATAATTACATTTTTTTTGTGATTAATCACTATGCTTTAATTATGTTCAATTTGTAACAAGGAAAATACATCCTGCATATCAGATATTTACATTACGACTCATAACAGTAGCAAAATTACAGTTATGAAGTAGCAACGAAAACAATTTTATGGTTGGGGGTCACCACAACATGAGGAACTGTATTAAAGGGTCGCGGCATTAGGAAGGTTGAGAACCACTGTTTTAGATGGAAAATGTGCTTTCTAAATGAGTCAGAGGGCGGGAGGCGGGGAGGTGAAGGGAGGGAGGGGCCAGCCGGTTCTCTCCAGTTTGCAAAGTTCAGGCAGTGGCTACACGTCTGCTTCCCCAGCGAGGGCACGCGGCATAAGCTGTCGCGCCTGGTTTGCTGGTTTTACACCAGGACCATAAAAACCTGGGATGCGTGCTGGGTGCCACCCAACTCCGAGGCTCGCCTGCCAGGGCGGAAAAAAAGCGCCCTTTCCCCGCCGCCGCCCCGGCCCCGCCGCCGGGCTGTAATCGGCCAATGAATCCCCGTCTGGCCCTCGGGGCTTGACAGTTAATGATTTGCCGCAGCCCGAGCCGGCGGGGGAAGCCGGGGGACCGGGCGAGCGGGCGCGCGGGCGCAGGGGCCGGGCCGAGCCGAGCCCCGCCGGCCTCACAGGCGCCGCCTCCCGTCTTCCGGGCCCCGGGCACATCGGGGGGTTCCGGGCGCATCGGGGGGGTTCCGGGCTCGGAGACCGCGGGCGCCCCGATGGAGGCAGCCCCTCCGGCGGGGCCCGGCGCCCCGCAGCCGCAGCCGCAGCCGCAGCCGCAGGCGCAGGGATCCGCGGACTGGGTCGCCGGTCTGCTGCGCAGGCTGCGGGGCAAACTCTTCACCTGGTGAGTGGACGGGCGCGCGGGGCCGCGTGGACAGGCGCGCGGGGCCGGGACCGGCTCGCACGTGGCGGCGGAGCGCCCGGAGGGCGGCGGGGGCGGCGGCGGGGACTTTGGAGCTGTTCAGGCGACCCCACATGTGCAGCAGGGATGTAGGCTTTACCTGGCTTTGTGAAGCGCTCGGCTCCTCCCTCGCCCCCTCTTAGGAATCGCGGGAATGCATTGCAGAGGATCGGGGGGAAATTCGCCCCGTTGGCACCGCGAGGTCGGTCCCAGGGGGCCTCCCAGCGGGAGGGGGGCAAGCCCCCAGGGATGCTGTGCAGGAGGGGTGCCCACCCTGCGGCTTGGCAGGTGGGTGAGCTCCCCTTCCCGGCGCCGGCGCGCGCGTTCCTGCTGCTGCCGAGCCGTCCGACGGTCCCTGCTGCTGCGCTGCCAGGAGTGCACCCAAGTGAGAAATCTGGGTTCAGTTTGGTGGTGCCGCCCGGACGGAGCCTGGAGCCTGCTGCCTCCGCCCCGGGGCCTGAGCGAGGCGACACGGCCTCCTCCAGGGCCGGGGCCAGAGAAGCCTGCTTCTGCTGTCGCTGTGGGAGATGGAAACGTGCTGAAGGGATTGATAGAGGCGCTGGGACCCAGAAAGCATTTCTGTGGCTACTGGAGGGCTTGAATCTGGAAATAGAAACAACCCAGGATCTAAATAATGAAAGCCAACGATTATTGAGCATTCACTGGGTCAAGTACTGTGCTTAGCAATTTAAATGGATAATATCGACTGATCCTCACCACTTCAGGAGAGGGCACTATTGTTATACCCACTGTGCAGATGGAGAAAGAACAAAGAAGGCTAAGCAACTTGCCTCAGGCCCTGAGATGAACTCCAAGGAATGGTGCCTGTGCGCTGCAGTCCTACCTGCAGCCACCACTCCTGCCCACTGTCAGGGCTCATGAACAGGCATTTTGACCTCTCCCTTCCCCCCAGCCAGATTAACAAAGAGAATTTCAGTGCTTGCTTTGGAAGCACATGTACAAAGAGAATTCCTCTTTAAAGATCGTGAAAACTATGTCCTGAAAAGTCATACCATTTTCAAAACTAGATCAATAATGGATGTGTTTAAAGGGGAAAGTTGACCAAAAGTTACCTAGTACCAGGCAGCTGTATATGTCCTGATAAATGTAACCACAAGTTCTCAGCTGGGAGGAGGCAGTGTACTTACTGTACGATAATGACTAAGGCCACAGATTCATTCTGGACTCAAATCGTGTCTGTGCCACTTACCAGCTGGGTGACTTTGGGCAAGTTGCTCAACTTCTCTGCCCCAGTTGTCTTTGTGAAATGGAGACACAAATGGAGACCTGCCTTGGGGATGTTGTGAGCATTAAGTGGCTGACTGCACAGGAGCGTGCGGACAGCTTGCTCATGCTACTGTCACTTACCACCAGCTCTCCACACTCACCACCAGCTCTCCACACTCACCACCAGCTCTCCATACTTGGTGATGGGAATATGCTCCCAGAGACGCCAGCAGCCTGGTTGTTGGGGCAGACAGTATGGCAGCTGTCATTGCTAACAAGGCTTAGCAATGTTTTTTTCTCTTAATGTTCTAATATTTAAAAAATCCCGGTATGCTTTACGGTCAGGAGTACCTAATAGCTTCCTAAATATGAGATTTCTTCTGTCTTTGAACACACTGCTTTTGTGTCTCCCTTGTGGATCTTTACTTCCTTCCTTATGTGAGAGCAGTTTGGGCAGCTTCCATTCCTGATGGGCAAAGTCCTTAACAGCAGAATCAAGTCTTTTTCATTCCTGTATTTCCCACAAGCCTTAGCACAAGAGTGCATGGATGAGGGATGGCATTCTGCCACACACCCTGCACTCCTCCCTCTATTGGCCTTTATGTATTCGGAGGGTCTGGGGCAGGAGCCTTTCTTCGGTTGGCAGAGCACTTCAGCTCATTACGGGCTTCAGACTTACCTCTGGCAATCAGACACTGGATCAGCCGTGGGCAAACTACGGCCCGCAGGCTGGATCCGGCTCGTTTGAAATGAATAAAACAAACAAAAAAAAGACCGTACCCTTTTATGTAATGATGTTTACTTTGAATTTATATTAGTTCACACAAACACTCCATCCATGCTTTTGTTCCGGCCCTCCGGTCCAGTTTAAGAACCCATTGTGGCCCTCGAGTCAAAAAGTTTGCCCACCCCTGCACTGGATTCTGGTTTGTAGTTTCTCCTTGCCTTAGCCAGCAGTCAGAAGAGTGCAGTGTACCAGATATCCAGCACTCCTTATACTCAATATTTTAAACTCTCAGTTGTTGTGCCCAGAATTCAAAGTTCCCAAGACCCCCCAGGGAGCCAGTCAGTCCGATGCAAAAGCAAAGAGTCATTTATTTCAAACCTAGGTTTGGCTCCCCTGCCACACTCACCGATGCAACGGTAAGCTCCAGTGGCCGAGAGAGAGAGAGAGAGAGAGACCTGATGGGACAGGGGGTTTTAAAGGGGGGTGGAGTGAGGGCAGGAGAGGGGACTGTGGGCCCCGCTGATTGGCCAGGCGCAAGTCGGTCATAGTGATGGCGTGCACTTCCCTTGATTATTATTGGTTAGTCCAGAGAAATCCTGGGTGTGGCTAGTAGCGGCTTCTTCCCGTGAGGAAGCACATGGTACCGTCCCAAAATGGAGGACCCAAGGCAAGATGGAGGGCGCAGTCCTTGTCCGGCTCCTGCCGCTGCCGCTCGAACCCACCACAAGGCAGGATGGCCCTCCCGCACAGCACCCGCAGCTGGCCTGCGGGCAGACTGGGACTCCAGCGCGTCTGGGCGGCACAGGCCCAGCAAACGGGGTGCGGCCGGTGGAGCGGCCCAGCTCTGGAGGAGCGGCATCCGCTCGGAGCAGGCCCGGCCATGGGGCCGGTGCACTGCAGCATGGCGGCCTCCCCGAGCCAGGGCACGTGCGCCACTGCGCTGCCGCCGCTGCTGCACTGGGCCCGGTCCGGGGGGCAGCGGGCGGGTGGCAGCCCACGGCGGGCTCCCGCCGTGGGCTGGGGAGCCAATGCCCCCCCCCATGGGGCCCAGCGGCTGGCCCACGCAGGCCCAGGCCCCCCCGACCGGGCCCCAAGGGCCGCATGGACCCCCGGCCCCAGCGCGGGCAAGCGGGGAGCCGACCATGGGGGAAGGGAGGGAAGAGCCAGGCGGTGAGGCCTTCCGCTCCCATGACCTCCCCCACGGTCGGTCGCCGCCCGGCCCCACCCCTCGGCCCGCCGCCGCCGGCCACCACGCAGCCGGTCCGGACACTCGGACCCGCTCCGGGGAGGCCGGCGGCCGCGGAGGGATCCCAGAGCCCAGCGGCCAGACTCCTCCTCCCGCACCGCCCGGAGAAGCGGGCGGCGCGCCTTTCATCAGTATTAAAACTTATCTCCCAAATTTGAATTTAGCTCCACGAATCACTAACAGTGGCCAGGGGTCCATGAGGTATGGAGAGGGGTTTGGTGAGTTAGATGTGTTATCATCAGATGGATAGGATATAGATGGATAGTTTGTGACCACACAACCCTTTTCTACTCTTATACCAAAGGGGGATAAGAATAGCTTGGAAATGGTCCTAAATATAGGGGAAAAGTTTGGGGCCTAGAGCTGGTTCTGTTTTCATTATGGGAGGTACATATTTTAGGTAACCCCACCTACTGACATAACTGCCTTACTAGCATTACAGATAACTTTTCTCTACGATGAAGACTATCAGGCCTGGCTGGTGTGGTTCGGTTGAGCATTGTTCCTTGCACCAGTAGGATGCTGGTTCGATTCTGATGTTTCTATGTCCAAAATCAATTTTTTTTTAAAAAAAGAATATCAGATTACTGCCCTGGTCAGTGTTTCTCAGTGGTTAGAATGTTGGCCTGTGCACAGAAGGGTCGTGGGTTCAACTCCCAGTCAAGGGCACACACCTGGTTTTCAGGTTTAATCCCCCACCCCTGCGTGCAGTAGAAAACCAATTGATGTTTTTTTTCTCCCTCTCTACCTCTCCCTCCCTTGCACTCTCTCTAAAAATCAATGGGAAAAATATCCTCGGGTGAGAATTAACAAACAAACAAAAGAATATCAGATCACTCATTCTGTGCCAAGCCTGCAGGGCCATGGGTGAACCTGAGAGGGGGCGGTGAAGGATTTAGAAAAGACAGACGAGAGAAGAAAGCTGAGGCTAGGTGGGACGCTGCTCTCTCTGATGGAGAGACAGCGACACAGCCTGTAAGCCAAGTCTTTATTTTATAGCCAGATTCCACGAGGCAAAGTAAGGGCATGGTTACAACGTTCTCGTGGGTTTCGAATCTACTCAATTACATGCACCTGATCAAGCTTTGTTTACTTGCTGCACCTCCTGCAGCCCATATCACTTAGCCACGTGGGGCTACAGGTTCCGACCATAAGGTCAACCTTACAACTATAGCCTTTGGCTATAATTGTGCTGGGACTTGCATGTGAGGATCGTGCCCTCTCATTAGTCCCAGGCTTGAACCTGTCCAAACGCTGTAGCCACTCTCCACATCTCTCCCTTTTCCCCCCCTGTTTTTAAACACTTCCATTTACATCATCAAAAGCTCTAGGCAAATTATGCAGCATAACCAAAATGTCATGAACAAAACTCTGGCTATTAATAAAACAGTAAACACAGTTACTGTTAATGTAATACAGCAATAAGAGAGAACAAAACTCTGGCTATTAATCAACACAGCAATAAGAAAGAAACCAAACTACAGACATGTTAACATTTCCAGTCTATTAACAAAACAGCCAACACAGTAACAAGAGAAAAACCTAACCACAGAGAGGTTAAAGTTCCTTTTGCTGTTGGTGTATATCTACTCAGAGTCCTCAGACTTGGCTGCGTAAGGCTTCACAGAAAACTGGCAGCTCACCAATGCTAGCATAGCCAGAAACATGGTTGAGGGAGTAGCTTCCACTTCTCGCTTTTATACCATCTGCTGGGCCTCAGTTGCTAACTTCTTCAGCTGACCC